GACTCTAAATAGCGTTTGGTTATTTTCATGGATCATCTGTATTCAACGTTTGAAATAAATAAGTAAAAACAACTGAGCATGTATTCGATGACGAAGAACCAACTTTGAGGCTAATAATGGTTGGAGACGGCTTGAATGGCAAAACCTTGTCGAAACGTTGTACATTTGCTGTTATGTTAAACTTATCTTAAAGTTTTTCTTCATTACCCATTCAAGTCGTCTCCAACCATTAACTGAGCATGTATTCGATGACGAGGAACCAACTTTGAGACTAATAATGGTTGGAGACGGCTTGAATGACAAAACCTTGTCGAAACGTTGTACATTTGCTGTTATGTTAAACTTATCTTAAAGTTTTTCTTCGTTACCCATTCAACCATTAACTGAGCATGTATGTAATGTAAACAGCTATAATCTTTGTTACGTAACATATAAAATATTTGAAACCAAATTCTTTTAAACGTAATAACGTAGCTCTGCATTGATTTTTCACAAGAAATTTGAAAAAAAAAGTTCCAATTTACAACAAAGACTCGTTTTTTTTTTTTAACCTCACAATAAATGGATCGATTTTAATTAAAACCCAACAGTGAAAGAAATATATTAAATCAACGTGGTATAGTTTCGTATAACTTCCATTGGTTCATGCGATAAGCTTGAAGCCTTATCACGATTAAATCTGGGGTTCGATCCCCGCGACGAACGTGGCTCAGATAACCTATTGAGTGGTTTGGATAAAGAAAAAGCTATCAGAAAAGAAGTAACAGAAAACATCATTTTAAGATTCTATTTTAAACAATTCTATCCTTATCTAATCGCTAAAATAATTTTATTTTACAAGAAAAATTAATACTTTAAACAAAACTTGTCGTAAGTAATATCAAATATGTTTCTTTTATTAGATTCAATTTCAAACACCTATGCTTTAGCGCCATCTTTCGGTAGGCATTTACCCCTAATGATAAATATATATAATACTGAGAAGGATTCCAACACTGATATATTTTACTACTTACTTCAGTCAACATTCTAATATATATATTCGAAACGTTCATCATAAAACTACCTGTCATATTTTGTTAATTTTTAATGAATATATTGACAAAAATAAAACATGTAAACATGTACATTTTACATCCAAACTTAATAAAGTATGTATTTTCAATTTCACTGTTTCTGTTACATCCAAGAATAATTATGTAACCGAAAACCAAGTAGATTCGTAATTTTCACCCATATTCCCACTAAAAACAGTGAAATTGATTGAAGTTATACGATGTGAAAAATAGCTGATCAAAAATGGCGGTAATCCGAATACCATATAAAGGAATAAAGATAGGCAATATGAATGTATTCCCACCATCAGAAAGAAAAGAAAATTGTAAATGATTTTACAAAATGTAGTAATATAGGCTGCGATATTAAACAAAATACCTTACGTATTTTCCAGTTACATGAACTAAGAAGAACAACAAATAATATGATATCTGTGGCATTAATTATTAGCATGTATATAACGAATACTGTTGGGGGAAGCCTAGTGGTTAACGTGTGGGGCTGCGAATCGGAAGGTCCAATATTCGAGTGACAGTCAACTCCACTATTCGGTTAAGAACAGCCGTATCGGTAACGAGTGCTTCTGATAGGTTGCTTTTTCTCTATTATAAATTAGAAACAGGAGTTTCTGACCCAGCTGTTTAACTCATGGTCAGTGCCTTGGGGTTTCTAACACGGCTGCTCAACCCATGGCCAGTGCCTTGGGATTTCTGACCCGGCTGTTTAACCCATGGCCACGTGCCTTGGGGTTTCTGACCCGGCTGTTTAACCCATGGCCAGTGCCTAGGGGTTTCTAACCCGGCTGTTTAACCCATGGCCAGTGCCTAGGGGTTTCTGACCCGGCTGTTTAACCCATGGCCAGTGCCTAGGGGTTTCTAACCCGGCTGTTTAACCCATGTGCCGCTCAGGTTGAAAATGTCAAAGATTGTAATAAAACGAGTAAGAAAACTGGCTTTTTTGAGGATTTTAGTTGCTCAGTCACTAAACAGTTTTGTACTGAAAAGCTCCGGTTGGAAAGAATTAAATATAAGTGTAATTATTGCATTTTTAAAATCACCTGAATCCTCAGGAAGATCCTCTTGATATTTTACATATCTTAGTTAAACCCTTCAGAATGGTTTGTTTTGAATTTCGCTCAAAG